CCCATAAATGCTGCCTCTCCATCTCTTCAGCAGCATGTCAGTCTGGGTCAAATTTGTGATTGCAAAATTGTGTGTGTGTGTGTGTGTGTGTGTGTTTTAAAGAGAGTGAGAGAGAGAGAGAGAGAGAGAGAGAGAGAGAGAGAGAGAGAGAGAGAGAGGAGTAAACTCTCTATCAACAAGGCTAGACTCAGGTAAAATGATTGTTCTGGGCAAACCCCAAGCAAAACATCTGGAATATTTTTATTCTTAAACACTTCTGCTAATGAAGTTCACATTTTCCAGGAATTTTGCAGGGGGGTGGGGAGACTAATGGGGTAAACAATGGTTGGGGTGTTGTGTAACTGACCAGCCATTTCCCCTTCTCCAAAGAAACACAGAATGCTAGATTCTTAGCTATCTAATTCTTTAAGTCATCTGGGATCTATCTATATTTATAAAACTGAGCAGAAATACTTAACAGCCTGATCAATAGCCATTGACCGGCAGTGCACCTCACACCCTAACATGCTCAGCTTGATCATGTATATTTGATCATTGAAAAATTCAAAGCATCTTGCAGCAGTATATCAAGCTTTTCATAAAACAGTCTGTCTCTTTCTGTGGTCTTAAAAAGAGTGAGTTTCTCTCTCCCCTGAATTCATCTATCCATCCATTTATCTACACACACACACACACACACACACACACACACACACCTCTCTACCTAGAGAATTTATTGCTCATATATTTGATGAAGAACAAGGTAATTAACTGCGAGGCTATACATCTGGGCGGCACTTCATATCCATTGCAATAATAAAACACTTTTTTCACATTTTAGCAGAAGAAAGGCTAGTCCTGCCCACAGATTCAGAGGACCCCAGAGTCTCTGTCTGCAAAACCTCCTTGTTATAAATCCTGCTTCCCTCTTAAGTGATGGCATGCACAATTGCACCAAGGGGCACTAAGTTTATCTGTGCAAAAGCATCACCGGAAAGCTTGTCCCTTCTCAGAGCTTTAGTATTAGCTTGCTCGGGGGTGGGGGTGGGCTGTTGAAATAGACACAGCTGGCATTTCCATCCCCAGTCTGCTTGGCAGCAAACTGGGGTAAGGGTCCAGAGGACTTATTCTGTGAAAGGCCACAGGTAGAAGAGGTGTATTTTGGGATCCCAAGGACTGGTACATTGAGCATGTGCCACTAAGATTTTGTACCCTCAAAAGGCACCAATCCTGCATTTTTTTTCCTGATATGCTGAGGTAAAAAAACCAATTCAACTTTCTCCATAAGGTACCCCAGATCTATTCAGAACCACTCCAAGGGTCTGACCAGAATACAATTGGCAAATCTATGCCAAGCTCCTCACAGAAGTTCTTATAACCCCAACCCTAGAGACCACCCCCACCCCAGTCAGAAAAACAAATTACCTGCAGAACCTCCCATCTTGGGCGTCCCCTGTTCTGTATTCCTAACTGTGCAGGAACAAATTATTCGGGGGCCCTTCCTTCTAAAAGCAGCAGCATCTGGGCTGAAGCTCCCTCCTTTTAAGGGGCGACTTCATATGATAATATGTGTAATATGATATGGAATGACAGAATGCATGACAGTTGCCCATAATACAGAGAAGTCAGTCAAAGGACAGAGGGGACATTTGGATAATTACCATCCATTGGCTAGTCAATCACGCGAACAGAGAGAAACTGCACAAAACCCACAATGGAGTTGGGAAACAAAAGAGACCCGAGCCAGACTCAGGATTAACCGGTCTAAAGCGATCTAAATGCTTTTGTATCTGAAGAACTGAGGCTCCCGGTCCCCCCCCCCAATCCCAGGGAACTAATTGCGGGGATCAGAGTTAAAGCTCTCTCCCTCCTTTCCCATTTCTCTTTGTAGACTGCTCACCACGCAGGAAAAAAATGATTTCTCTCTGTGTGTTCATTAAACTATTTTAAAGTTAAAAGGGTGGGGGAGGGGGGCTAGATATGGCCCCTTAGCCCAGAAACTGGGATTCTTCTCCCTTGGAAGAGGCTGGGACAGTCTCGGTAGGCTTTAATTCTTTGTTTCAGGGTAAATTCTTCTCTTCTTGCCCCCTGGAAACAGATGCCCCCCACACCTGGGCTGAGACTGGGCAGGTGCTCTCAGAGGCAGAGATGGATTGCTGGTACTCTGCTTTGGGTGAGGACCCCGTGCCCCCAGCTGGCCCCTGCACCAGAAAAACACCAGGTCCCCCTTCCCAGTGCAAGACTCAAATTGAATCTGCACACCTAGCATTAAGTGGGGGTAAAAGGGCAACAGATAAGTGGGTCTAGTCTACAGCATGGGAGAGTGAGCCAGAATAAGATGGTTGTAAATTGTGGGGAGAGAATTTCTTTTTAAATTGGCGAGTGAGAAAGAGGGAGAAAATCTTTCTAAATGGGGAAGAGAGAGAATATAGCTAACTGGGGGGAGGAATGCAAAGAGTCTCCCTGCTTGAGGGAAAAGCAAAGCAAAGACCTAACCCCTCAAAAGAGACAGGAAAATGATGCCTTGAGAGCCAGAGAGGATGGCGAGAGAGGAAGAGAATTCCTTAGAAGATAAAACATACGGACAGAAGATCTCTTAACCCAAGAGCGAACCCCCCATTCCCAGGACAGGAAGACTGGTAACTATCACCCAATTCCCACCAGTCCTCGCTACACAATTCCAACTCGCCCGAAGCCCTCCCGGCCCCGGCGGGCCCTCGCGGGTTCCCGGCTCCGTGGCAGAAGCAGACCCCGGTGCGGGTCCGCGGGTGCCCGCGGTGGCCCTACC